CATACAACACTTTCCTATGCCTTATTTTTATGGAATCTTTTATTATTAGACATTTAAACCTTGAAAAGTTCGTTTGCTTGGAAATTCAGATAGAAATAGCTGAAAAGATATGCATAGTTTGATAAGATAGCTGTCTGGAGTAAGCAAACAACTTACATTATATGTGTGACTACCTCTAATTGAGTGAGCAAATACGCGTTTAGGGAAGTTCGCTGAGATAAAGATTGTATAGTTTGAAATCATATTTTACCTACTTTAAGTTCTATTTACTGCTTCCCAATTAGTCACTCTTTAATCTTAAAAGTGGAAACGATTTAAAGTTCCTAAGTTTCGTGACTAATCCTAAGCAGCTCTTTATTTTTAAAGAACTGGAAAAAAATAATTGTGATAAGATTAGCAGGCCAAACCATTTTGTATTTGTGGCACATCCCATTTCGGTGAATCGGGAGGCACAAAATGCTATATTCTCACCAGGCCCATTAACATTCAACGTCATTCATTTATGGCTATTTATATTACGCAATTTAGCCCGCTTATCGCCAAACAAATAATTAGAAAAAGGTGAAGTAGGTGTAACAGGGCGAAACCCCACAATGCCAATACAAATTATGGAACTTGCCCTTTTGGGGTCTTTAAGGCTTCCTAATAACAATAACAATAAAGGAGAGAAAGAAAGAGGTATACCAGGGAAAATGAGGGTAAAAAAGACAAAAAGAGTTGGCAACACAGAGGAAAGAAATGGGGTAAATATGATGCTTGAAGTCGTATGAGATATTAATGTTTTCGAGTATATGTAAATCAAATTAATTTAAATTAAATTTTGATATTCACATCTCTGAAGTGTTTTGTAAATTATAAAAAAATTTATTTAAAGTTATGTATAATGTGGAGTGCTATAAATTTGAACTTAAATGTAGAAAAATTATCCCGCACCCGTTTTATTAAACTTTTTAATTGAAATATTTATGGGAATTTTTTTTAAAACTCGGTTGGCTGGTATTTTTTTCTGTAAATTAATTAGAAATAAAATTTTTTCTTTTGTGTAGAAAAAGAACAGCTAAAAGTTTGTTTAACAAAGTGGTTTTCAACACCCCATAAAAAACATTTGCGAAAAGCAGCAGAAAAATACGAAGGAGAGGAGGAAAAAGCAACAAAAGAGCAAAAAATATAAACACAAAAAAGTACAAACCCAGGCGAATTTCCGCTGTTTCCGCACGTAAAAGTAAAAGGCAAATAAATAACCGTCAAGAGAAATGTAAACAATGCAGGCCAAGATGCACAGCAGATGAACGAGAAGAAATGGCAGCAGATGAAAAGATGAAAGGAGGAAAATGCCAAAAGCACAAATAGCAACTGAAGCCGGTTCAAGTTGAATTTTCCTCGCAAGGTTTTCCTTCTTTTTTGTGCTTTGCAAAAATCTGCACTCAAGGAGGGCAGACAGTTGGAAAATGAAGTGGAAAAGGGGGAAAATAACTACATTCTGTCCTAATGAACGAGCTAACTGGGGAGAAGGAGCAAACCGAGCATAATGGAGATGGGATAAGCAAAACGCAGAGAATTGCTTAATTTATGGGGCTTTGTCAAGTGGCAAATCCTTGAGATTTTTCACACTACCAACAGAAGGAAAATCCACTATTGGTTACAAAATATTTTCAAAACATGTTTTTGTACTTGCATTTTATTCAAATCACTTATAAAAAATACTACAAATTGTTTGCAAATTAACAATTGGGGAAATAAACTAAAACTAGTTATTAAAATATAATAAAAATATAACAATAATAATTTTTATTTATTTATATATTTCAAGTTTAATTTCTTAGAAATCTGCTACTTTTTACAAAGCATATTCAAAATATTTTTTTGTATATGCATTTTGTTCAAATCACTCGTAATATACTAAAAAAGATCCTAAATTACCAATTGGTAAAATAAACTAAAACCGTTTATATAAACCCAATATTAATTTTTTCTTTAATAAAGAAACCAATTTAAATTCCTAGAAATCTGCTTCCTATTTTTTCACCATTATTGATAAAATGATGAATTATTAACCATGGCCCAATAGTAGTTTTGTATAAAATACAATAAATTTTCTCATTATAAATTCAACTTCCCCTTTTTGAATGTCGACACATAGTAGACTTGTGGCTTTAAATAATTTATTTGCCAATCTGGAATGATTTCATTTTAATTCAAACCTTTTTTTTTTATAGGTGGTATTATTATTTATTTAGTTTATAGTTGATCTAATTGTTCTGTGACGTAGTAAACATAGGTATTTATTTGTTAAGAGTATTATTCATAGTGTTAATGTACTAGCGATTGTTATAATGTGGGGAAGATATATTGTCAATAATATGGACAGTAATGAATAAATAATACAGACAATAATTTAAAAAGGAAAAATTAAATATTAAAAAAAAATCAATAAATTACGTATATGTATTTCGATAATAATATTTGTTTCGTGCTTAGTGAGTTTAATTTTATATACTAGCTAAGTCCTGATCAGCCAACAAAAAACTAAAAATGTTGTGAATTGTATCTATAAAAATGAAATAGAAATGGAAACATAAAATAAAATATTACGTACTCGCCAATTTTCGAAATCAATTCCCTTGTGCGTTAACGTGGAAATATATAAGCCAATTGAAAAAGTCCAAAAAAAGTGAAGCGAAATCTGTGATACAAAAAACGGGAAACGGCAAACAAGTGAAATGGAGCAAATCTTTAAGCAAATGTCGAGTGGGCGGCAATTGATAAACTGTGCCAGATAGAGCAGCAATAAAAAAGGTGGGGGAAAACAGGAGAAACGGGGGAAAAGGGTGGAAAAACACACAGAAGCGCAATTTCCTCGGCCCCTGAATTTCCAACCATTTTCCCACCGGGACAGACATTGCCAATAGCGCAACGTTTCGGAAACAATTTGAAGGCCATAAAACTTGATGTGGCGTCTGTCATAAAGGAGGCGACACCAGGCACAGATTCACCCCACCCCCTTTTCCTCCCACTCCCCTTTCCACCCCCTTCGACCTTCGGTTTTCCAGAAGTTAGGTGAAAACTGCGACGGCACTCAAGATGCGGCAGATGCGAAAAGTGTAAGAAATACGGAAAAGTCAGATACGAATACGGCAAAGGCAAAGCAGCAAACTCCGGCGGAGGACAAGGCGGCAAACATCGACGAAAACAAACAAATAAACATCAAGCAGCTGTTTTTGGCGCCGCCAGAGAGAGAGAGCGCACCAAGAGAGATAAAGATACAGAGAACAAGAAAGTCGGAGAGAGTACGAAAACAACATTTGCTTGCTTTTCACAAAGCTCTCTGCCGGCTACAGTAATCCCTAGAAAAAAGAAACATCGTATTAAGCAATCATTGGAGTATTATAAATACCAGGGTTTTTATTCTTGATCTTACAATCTACGTTAAACTTTATTTATAAGTGCACTTTGAAATTAAATACTTCCAATCTTCAATATATTAAAACCAAAACCCCCAAAGACTTAAATGTTATGATCCCAATATTGTAGCCACCAGTGTAAGCACCACCCACTTTAACCTGCCTGCTTGCTCTCCCGCTCTGCCTGGCTCTCCCACTCTCTCTCTTGCTCTTCCTGTGCAATTGCTCACCGCCCACTTTTCATACGGCATTCACTCATTCATGGCCAGACTGCAGGACCCTCCCTCTCCCCACTGTCGACCCTTAAAGTCAGCTGCGCCTATTGGCAAAACCAATATTTACAGTGGAGGGCAGAATAATAGTCAAAACAATGCACTAAATTTAACTTGAAAAATAACTTATTGCGGAAAAAACGTAATTTGGTTTAAAGCTAATACAAACTAAACCAAAAATTAAACTATATCTTTAAATTGGAATATTACGAATGAAAAAGTCTTTGCCTATGCGACATTTACGAGTTCATAAAATGATTGCCTGAAACGTTTATCGTAAGAGCGCATTAATAGATTATTAAATTGGATGGGTAACCTAAAGCTAAACGATATGTATTTGATTACAAGTAGATTTTAACTCATTTTAGTCAATCTTAAAAATAAATTAAAATATTTTATGAGAATAAAAATGATTTTATTATTTTTATTCTAATCAAATGTTATAAATTATATTGTATTTATTTATATTATAAAAACTAGTGCATACAAAAAGATATTTCTATGGGTATTTTGGATAATTTACCGAATTTTAAAAACTTTAAACAGGAATGGAAAGAATATTATATGATTTCATTTGATACAAAATAAAACACTTTTTCGGCCCCGACTGTGCGGCTAACACATGGACGGCCACAACACCAACGAACGAATGTGAGAACGAAGGCGGCGACGTCGACTGAGAAACGACGCTGCGGCATTTTGGCACTGGCATGTTGGCCATGTTTTTGAAGCGTTCAAAACGGCTTCTCCGCAGTCGTCGTTCTGCCGCCGCGAAGCCAGCAACAAAGTTCCGCAGCGGACTCGCAACCAGTTGAGTGTATCGCCGTAGATACGAGTACTTACGGATACGGATACGTAGTTTGCAGTGCGGGCCTCAAGCCGTTTATTACGTATACGCACCGCGTGCCGCCGATTGGCGAACTTTATTATTTTCCACGAGTGTCACAAGGCACAGGGCAAATATAAGGCCGAAATGTAAATGAAAATGAGCGGGCGAGGCGAAAGACAAAAGCAAAGATAACAACTGGGCAAACAACAACAATAGTTGGGCCAAATCAATGACGATAAGGCGGCAAAACAGTTGGGCAAAAAAGAATATGGCCAACACAAACAAATTGTAAAGTGAAAAGGAGCAGCAGTGATATTGACAACAATTATTAAAGAAAGTGTAAAATATTGAAAATTAAATTAAAAATAAAATCAAACCATAGAAAATATATTAATAAAAAATAAACATAATGTTAATAACAAAGTAAACAATAACTAAAGTAAACATAAATAAAAAGGAAAACGCAAAAACACACCGGAAAAAGCAGCAAACAACAAAAGAAATTATGTAAAAAGGAAACAAAAAAGTCAAACCCAAAGCAAAAGGAAATTGTAACTTTTTGCCTTTTCAATATTTCTTTGCCCATTCAAGAGATACGAAAACAGTAACAGACCTTAGATAGACAGATGGATTGTATGCTCGATTGTCAAGAGGCGGGGACATACGAGTATTCCTCAATTTCGATTTCGATTTAACGTGAGTGCCAGGCAAGCAAATACAAACAAACAAACAAATCAAGCCCAATACTTAGAGTTCCCTAACATTCCGTTCCGATTCACACTCCTTCATTCCGACCCGTTCGATTCTACGGAAAATGCAACACAAATATTAGCATTGCCATAAAACAATAAACCCGAACGTATTAATTGCAATCTTGTGATAGTGAAAATATGGAAACAAAAAGCCAAGCGAAACGAGAATAGCAAACAAACCAGAGGTAAATGATAAACGCAAACTATTTAGTTCGATAACAACAGGGAAATAATATCCACAAGAATCTTCTACGAACTGCCAACGATTACGTTAAATGTGTTAGACTAAAACCAGTAAAATAAATAGAGATTGGGGATTATTAATATTAACGTCTTAGCCAAAAATGAACACAATTATAATTTTTTAAACGAGCATCGAAGTAGGCAATTATTATTCAAACTGTCAGAATAATTATGCTGCTATAAGTTTTTATTTACCTTAACATTTGGTACAACAAATTTAAATTAGGCAAATACTAAAATTTTAACTTTCAACATTTTTGTATTTAATAATTTGGGGATCTATTCAGTAGACCGTTTTCCGGACAATAACCAAAGACGTTCCGCAATGATAAATTCGAAAATAACATGAAACCCAATTAAAATTCTGAATGAGTTCCATTTAGCAATTCAAATTTCACATTTTTCACATGCTTTTCATTTCGCTTGGGTATTTGTCAACAAATAATTCTGAGAATAATTTACTTTTCCCCCCTTTTGGTTGCCATTTCTAGCCAATTATTGGTCTATATGTTGACCAAGTGGCGGCGCCTGTCGATGACAGCTTTAAGCTTTTGTTCGAAAAAATATGAATTTTTTTATGCAGATGGCAGGAAAATGTGTGAAATATGAAAAATAAATGAGTTTAAAACTGTTCAGAAAAACGTTAAATTTTTATTAAAATAATTAATTGAATTGCTGGTTGTTTTTGCTTACAGGTAGTTACTAATTTGTAGATTTAAATCGCTTAAATATTTTTTAAAAAAACGCACAAAGTGTATTTTTTTAAACTTAAACGTAATCTATATCTAATAAAGATCCATTAAAATTTATAAAAATTAAATGACGAACTAAGTAGCCTTTATTAATTGGAAAATCTCTGTTATTGCTGCCAGAAAATTCGATACTTAGCCAAGGTCAGTTTTCACCGCTTTTCATTTAAAACTTTTAATTAAAATATTTATTTATTGCCCAAGCCAGGGAGATTTCTCCAAGTTGTTCTCCAGCGTCGAAGCTTTACCGCAACGAAAACAAAACTTTAAATACTTTAATTTCATGGGGGAAAACTTTCGGAATGAATGCCAAACCATACAGAAATCGAGTGCCAATAACAACTTGTCCTTAGACACCAAATTGGCCTCCATGAAAGTTCTGTTGCCAAAAATGTAGAATGAACCAGATGGTAAATGGTCGAGTTGCATGTAAGGAATGTCAAAGTACCCTTTGAAATGTGTTATATTACGTATACGTATTTTGGATGAACAACAAAATTAGTGACTTATGTATATCATAAAATTTTTATTTCATGAGGAATTAAATATAAATTAATCTGCTGCATTTTCATTATAATTAGTGTTATAAAGACGAGTTCAGATTGATTTGTATAGTACTTTGATCACTCCAAAACTTAAAATCCGAATTTTATCATGCCCATCATATCCACCGAAAAGAAGAAAGTAAGAAAAACAATAACAAGCAGCAGGAATAACTTTTTCAATTGGCTTCCGCCCTTACAAGATTTATCCGCATATAGATAAATATGTCGATGGGTGTGTGGGATTAGATGGAATCATTCATTCACATGGATCATTGAGTGAGTGTGCGTAAGTGAGTTTCTGCCGGCATTCCTTGGGTTTTCCTTTTGCTTTTTATTTACGCCCGCAATTTGTGCTGACAGGTCCCATAATTTATGGCAGCCCACTTATTGATTGCGCCAGAAAAGCTCAAAGGTAAAAATCATTTTCGACTTTAAAAGATTATTATCAAACTGGGCAATAGATTTGCTGCTCTTTTCCCCTTCGAATTTCCACTCTTTGGCCGTTTAACTGCTCATCCGCAATTGCGGTCATAATTTGCTGGCTCACCATTTTCCCGGAAAATTTAACAGTAAAACTTCTGAAATCAATGAGTAATACTAGTACTAATTTAAAAATATTTATTAAAATAAACAAAAATAAAATATTCCAAAAAACTTTTTTATAGAAATGATTTTTTAATTTTCTTCTAAAATTAATTGAAAAATTCAAAAAGCATAAATATAGTTATAAGTATGGATAAAATTATTGATAATATTTACAATTATTTTAACTATCTTAGCTTAAAGTATGTATAAAGCTTAGAAAAAAAAATAAATATATATGGATTTCAATCAACAATGTTAAAAAAAAACTTTTTTTAATTTCAAAAATTTGCACAAAAAGTTGAAGGTATCGAGGATGGACTGTATTTTAGTTTTGGACCGCTGGCCAACCGGAAACGAGTGCTGCGTTCAGCTGTTGCTGTCTCGCTCTAGCCGTAGCTTCGAGCTGTTTCCGTTTTCCGCTTGCTGGCCAAAATTCTGAGCGACATTTTTTCGGTTTTAGCTGGACGAAAAGCGGGGGCAGGTGGATGTTTTGTTGCAATTGTTTGCAATTTCGTTGCCGCCACAAAATGGCCAACTGTTTTCGGGGCTAATCTGTTGCCAATTTGTTGCCTTTTTTGACCGTCAATTTCGGTTTTGTCGTTATGCAAAGGTTTTAAGTGCTTTTCACAAACATTTTTAAAGGTTTTTCCTGTTGCGAGGGCAAAGGTTGAAAATGAGATTTGCATATTTTCCTTTGCCTGCATTTTACTTTGCTTTCGCATTGAGTGCTATTATGCTAATTGTAAGCGCCAAAGCCTGCTTTTAGAATTTATCCAAAGGGAGATTTTATTTTTTGAATATTTTTGTTTTAATACAGATTTGCGCTCATCACTCATTTGTTGTTGGCTCTTGCTAATTAGAAGCGTGCCTCAATTGCCTTGGCGAAATTTATGCAGATAAAGTCAGATCTCAAGGGAAAGAAAAAAATAAAATATTGCTTTAGAAACTTTCTTTTGTTTATAGAAAAGAAAATGGTAGGAGTCTTTTGGCTTAAAGTTTTGTGTGAGAAATATTTTTGGGTTTAATGCTACACTTGTACAATTTTATTTATCCTATATTCTTCCGGTTAGGTTGATATCTTTTTTTGGGGTTTTGTCATTTATTTTGCGCAATCCGCTTAAGTTGGAATTGCTGTATGGGTATCTTGCAACCTAAGCTTATTGAAGGATTTAAATGTATAATAAAATGAAACGGAGGAAATGTGAATAAGTACAGTAGCAAATTTCAACTTTTAAGCTACCTGATATGCAAACGTGGCCTATTAAAAATGTAAGACCACGCGAAACGAAATGGAGCTAAAAATCGTGCTGCTCAGTCTTTCCTGACTTGAGAATCTTGAATAAAACATTAAAGGATAAACGTGTTTTAAAGAGAATTTATATTAAAGTTAACCGTATATTTTTTATTTTATTTGTTTTAAAAAGAAAATAAGACGTTATTTATAGAAATCGTGTTCTAAAAACATATTTTGTATGTGATAACATGATCAATAATATTGCGTGCACCTAAAGGATCCCCTTAACGACAACTAAATGGTTTCCAATATTCATAAATTCACGCCTCTTTAAAGATAATTTTGATGCCTTGCTATAAAAATTCCCAATCTTTGTTCCTTATAAAAATACGCTTTTTCAGTTCCGATTGGCTGGCAGCCAAGTCACTCAAGTGCTAATGTTTCTACTGTCTGGGTTATTAAAGTTAAGCCGGGCCATTGTTGTGGGCTTCTTTAACCTTCATGGGGATTTACGGGCGAGGCATTAAATTGACGGCTCGTTCCCTTGATATCTCTCAGGAGATGATCAATAAAGTCAATCCCTAGCAGCCAATTGACAGGTCTTCCACCAAACTGGCTTCTCTTTTTGCCTCCACTGTTTGCATCTCTTTAAGACGAAATATTTTTACGACTCGTGCTTATGTAACCAACAAAGGGCCAAAAATGAAAATGATTTCAAAAATCATTCGTGTGTAAAAATGGCAGGAAAGTAGAGACATTGCCTTAATGGATGCCATGCCCACAAAAGCGGGCTATACAAAAATTGCGGCCAGAGGCCTTGGGTGCAGGGAAAAACCGGGGGTGAAGTTCGGCGCATGGAAAATCCATTTATCAAAACGACGTCCAAAGAAAACCGCAAACGCATCGCACAATTTGACGCCAAACAAGCAACAATAACAAGAAACAAATGATTTAAATTAATCCACTTAAGGCCACTTAAACCCTCAATGGTAGACGAAAAATATATGCTATATATTCCCACGCTCCCGCAAATATACATCCATGTTCATAAAACTCATGTACATATATCCCTGTTCATGTACGAATTATCTGTGGATGAGTGTAAAATGTCAAACGCTCCCTGAGTGGACTTCTGTACGGACTGGCAGGGAATGGCATGAAATAAATGCAAAAGAAATATGTAATATGTGGAAAATGTGAAAGCATTCAATGGAATATTGACCGGAGTTGGCTGTGCTTTTTAAAGGTGGCTCTGCAGCGATGGGTGAATTTTATATGTATTTTGTGAGTGCCAACTGGTGAAGTGCAAATTAAGACGAATCAATCCTTTTGTCAGGCTTGATAGAGCTTTTAATTGCCGGCCTTCAAAGTATTTCTGGAAATCATTTGTGGCTACATAATAATTTTGACTTTAAAATGTATTTCATTTATTATCCCAATTAACATTAATGTTCTTCTCCAGTACTAATAAACATTTTCGGGTAATTAATGTTATATAAAATATAAACAAACTTATTTTCAATTCAATTAATAATTCATAATTATATTCCCATCAGAACTAATTTTGTATTATCCAGACTAGATTTATTTGTTTTAAATTAACTATATTAAAAATATTATTTATTTCGTTAGTTTAAGGAAATTAAAAAGGCAATATATTTATTTAGTTATGTCAGTCAAATTAAGTTTAGTTGATCAACAACCATAGAATATTATTTTTAGATTACAATTTATATTTTATTAGAATTTAATGGAATTTGCCTTGACATGTTATCTAATACATTCGCTACTATAAATCCGTATTCCCCCAAAGGATATTGTCAACAAAT